CCACCGTTTTCCCTCCAGCGAAAAGGTTAGATAATTAAATACAAGACAACTTAGACTAACAGGCGTTACAATACATATCTTCATATACTGTCGTCAAAGTACCACGCTATGTGAAAACGTCTATTAAATTTGAAATAAAAAGTCAATGAGCAACTCGCGCCTGAACACTTCAGTTAGTGTTTAGGCTGTGGTTGGCAAAGTGCACAGCATGCCATCTTCAAAAGTGTTCTGAAACTTTTTCGGTTTTCATATGAAACACGGCCGTGGAATCTGGTAGTGCGCCCGAGAGGTTCGACAACTGTCCGGCGTAAAACCAGCGAGTTGTCAGGGTAGGAGACAACTCGCTGGCTTTACGCCGGACAGTTGTCGAAACTCTCGGGGCGAACTACAAAGGTTATGAAGTTAGATACACCGACGGCTCTCTCTCCAGGAGCGGAGTGGGAATGGGGGTCTTCGGAGATGGTTTGCTTGTGAGCAGATCGCTTCCGACCCAATGCTCGGTGTTCTCAGCTGAGGCAGAGGCCATTCTCTACGCGGTTAAGTTACCGGTCGATATTAGTCGTAACTGACTCACACAGCGTGATATTGGCCCTAACAACAGAAACACCGAAGCATCCGTGGATCCAAGGAACGGTAAAGCACGCACCGCCCAACAAAGTATTTATGTGGATACCCGGTCACTGCGGAATCCAAGGGAACGTAACAGCCGACCACCTCGCCCGCTCAGGCCACACTGGACCCAGGTCCACCGGCAATGTACCGCTCTAAGATGTCAAAAAGTGGATCAAGCCGAATGGATCGGAGAGCCTGGGACACCGAGTGGAGGAACAACAGGACACACCACCTATGGAAGATCAAGGCGACCACCGGAACCTGGAAGGATCGACCAAACCTAAGAGAACAACGGGTGGTGTCAAGGCTGCGCACCGGGCACAGCTGAGTCTCCCACAACTTCGGAGGAACACCGTTCCGGAGGACCTGCGAAACCTGCGGAGTGCCAGCCACCGTGGAGCACATCCTCGTGAACTGCGCGGAGCTGGAGGACCTTCGGGCTGTGTGTTGCTTGTTTGTTGGCCCTTTTGGCAGTTTTCTACACCTTTTCTTTAAAGCAAGATAAAGCAAAATACCACAGCCAAGATTGGGAATCTCCTTCTGAGAACCCAATTTTTTTTCTCTTCTCTATACTTTTTGACGTAGGACTACGTCTTTGATTTCTATATGGGGGTACACTTTGTGAAAACCGAAAATGGAACATGTAACAAATTAAGAAAGATTTTGAACGTTAATAACTCAGCTGCCCCTGGTCCAATTTCAATAATTTTAACACCAATCGATCAGAAATATGGCTACGCATCGATAACAATGCTTCCAAATATTGATTTTCAACAAAAATCTATTGAAAAACTGGTAAATGTCCAGCATTGTCCAAAAGCGTCGAATTAACTAACAAATCCACCAATTACCTACATGCATATGCTGCTTCCCCAGCACAGTCGTCAGAGAGTAGTAAGTAGACGAAACAAGTCGAAGTGGCATTCGCCTCCGATCCTCGGGCGTGTGCGAATAGGGAGGATGGAATTGCATAATATTTTACACACTTATCGCCATACTCAGAACCACACGCTCCCAATTGTGTGGTGGTGTTCGGTCGTCAAAATTAGTAGCAGCAGTAGCAGCATAGAGGTAACTCTAAGACTAGTAGGTCCCGAAGAAACGTGCTCAACTTTTTGGCTCAGCTCTGGTACTATCTTCGGTCCCAAGCAAATCGAATCACCCCTCGAAACATAGGAAAATCCAATAACCCCTCATTTTATCTGTCAAACTTTCATAGCGAATCAAAACAAACATAGTGTAGTACTAGAATGTCGACTAGAATGGGGTAAGTTAATCGATTTGCTTGGGACCAATAGAACTAGATGGCTGATTACGCGAATATAATATAGTATCGTAATCGTAGAGAAGCTGAATCTCAAATACCGTCAACAATTTCCTACTAAAAACTTAAAGTAACATGTTATATTTTATCAACCACTTGGATGGCCAAAATTCCCCCCCGGTTGAACACCACTGCCTTAAATCTACAAACATTCACGTTCGTCATTCGTCGCATGTGACTGCAAAAATTGCGATAGCATAACGGAGTGCAAAGTTCATTTTTCTCGTTTCCTTTTTTATTGTCCATGGAAATGATGTTCGTTTCCGGCACTTTTGATGTAAAAAGAAATTATCAGAACAACAATCTGACATGCATACATATGAGTTTGTTTACAATCAATAGGTTCCAAAATCGATACGACGTCAACTGGAAGTTGTGCTTCAGCAAGTTAATAATCGAAAAATGTCGGAAAGCTATTGTGTGTCCCTCGTCGGAAATGATTTTATTATTAGCTTTAGTGAATAGTGTTTCCGGACAAAATCTTGGGTTTCAGATCGAAAGAAGAAATGGTTGAAAGAAAAATAATTCCAAAGACTGTGTCAATCAATGCCAAAAGTTTCGGAAAATTAACTTTATTTTTAAGGCATAGTTGGTGTGCGCGGTAAACCAAGCAGGCTGCGAATGGAACCTTCTTCAGTGAAGCAAAAACGTCGGGTTGCTAAAGCCCTAAGAGGAAGAGGAGACAACTGGCTTCTTTTTGTCTGTGACGTGTTCTTCTTCTCTCGCGGAAACGACCGTGCAAAAACTATTGGGCGACGCAGTCGACTGTCAAAACACAAGAAAATAGATTCCCTGTGGTAAAAATTCTCGCGTTTCCATACGTTCGCCTGACCTAACAGGCGCTGACAGAAAATTGGTTCACCTATTGTCTCCTCTTCCTCTTAGCGAAAGCCGATCGATGTAGACATTCTTTTAGCGATTTTGTAACCCGTCGGCTAGCTGACGACTCTAATTAGTTTGAATGAAGAACGGATGCAAATTTCAATTCTACATAAAATCTCAAGAGCTTAAAACATTTTATAGTGCAAGATTTACTGTGTCTGATGAGAGTGTGTTTTTTCCTTGCCACAGAAAATTAATGTTAGAAAATTATTTATTTCGCGACACTATGGCAAAATGTACATGAATCTGCGCATATTTTATCATATGTACCGTAATCCACTAGCAAAACTTCCACTTTTATCTGACAACCCCAAGCCCTCGAAACTTCCTTCTAAGTATCAAGGCTGAAAAATGCGTGTCGATTCATGGTTTACATGACTCTCGGCAATTTGGTTAGCAAATTTTATGATTGAGCCACTTTTTGAAAGGTATGCAGACAGGGATCCGATGGAAAATGTGGTGTGTCAGTCGGGACGGGAGACCCCGTGAGAGGTGGCTCTGCAGAAATTCATATTCACCTGGAAAATAGTCAATTCCTGAGAGATCTGCGATTTTTTTTTAATTGTGTGTGGAATCTGCATCAAACCGTTCGTCGAGAAGAATTTCGAGGCCTTCCTTAGCAAAGTCAGTTTAAAGCAGCAGGTAGGTCTAAATCAAATCCACGCTGCGCTGACAGGGGTTGTTTCGATTCGGTTCGGGAACAGGAATGTTTCGGATTGGGAAATATTTCTCGACTTTCTCCGAAGGTAAAAAAATATGCATGCAAACTCCATGTGTCAACGTCCCACATTTGCCCAATGCCGCTGTTGCATCCGACCGAGATTCAGCACGTGAAACGTGTTGGTTTAGGATGCCCTCATTGTTTGTTGGTCTGCTGGCACACTACATAATAGTATACAAAGTAAAAAAAAAGAGGTCCGGTCTTCGCTGAAGAGCTGTTCGTTCATACAGTCATGAGCTTGCATTGCAGCTACCATGCAGCGAACGGTTGAGGTTTATTTTGGTTGTGCTTTTCGGAAACGTAGGTTGGTTCCTTCTTCGTATCGTATGGTTAAATAGCAAATAAAAACTAATATGAAATGTGCAAAACTGTATTTGATCTTAAAGTTTCTTGCATTGTCCGTTTAAATGACCTTACTTTTTACGACCATAATTTTGCTAGTGAACTTCAGACGGTGTAATTGCTCGAAAGCTTTCACGTAATTGGTAACAAAGTAAGGAAATCAGTTATGCAAGCAGTTCACCTGCTTTCATTGAAGTGGACAAAGTTCCAGTAATTAAACAACTCATACAATGGCCATGTGCAATGAGGTACAGTGAAATAAGTTTTTTTTTTATCACCAAGGATCACCTGAAGGTGTATTAAGTGGAACCGTTAAACGGAGAGAAGTTGATCACTGTTTACCGATAAACCTGAATATTTTTCCAAACATATGTTTGATACACATAGAAATGAGTGAATTTTGTTACAAACCATGAACAATGAACGCAATTGAGCTTTCCAAATAAACGAGCTTTTTTTTTTAAATAACTCTACTGATCAACTTCACCTCGCTTTACGGTACTCGTTTGTCTAATAAACGAGTAAATGGAAGCTTCCACTAGCCAGTTCCACAGGTTCTTTGAGTGTCTTCTGGATTTTTCGTTTGCCCCTGGCATTTAATTTCACCTCCAGGTGCAATCCGAAAATGCGCTGCTGATGAACTTCCTCCTCCAAACAACTTGTCTTTCAACGACGGTCGTGCTTCTCGGTGGTCTTACGACGCACTATCGCCGTCGACTTGCACTTTCGTCGTTACCTGAACTAAGAATATTCGAGGAAGATGGGACGATGATAGAGGAAACAGTTGATTTCCCACTTAATGCATTATATTTCTAGGTTAACATTCCAATGGGTCCCATTACGTTCCACGCTATATTCGTCACACAATTTTATGGAAGTCGTTAGTATCTAGCGTCAAAAACGTTAACCACAACAGGGATTGTTTTGGAAGCTAATCGATCATTGCGGTTAGGACATATTTAAATGATCAACTAGATATTCTCTATTTTTGGTCCAATTAACGGCGAGGTAAAGAGTGAACGCGAATTTCTCCTAGAAAAAAAAAACATTTGGAAATCCTGATAGACGGGAAAGCTTATCTTGTAGTTAAGGAGGTTCTTTGCTTTCGTTTATTTTCAGAACTGGTGCATCGCGCTACACATCCTGCTGCATTACCTGATGCTGGTAAACTATTTCTGGATGTTCTGCGAGGGACTCCATCTTCATCTGGTGTTAGTGATTGTAAGTATCATCAACATAGTCAGTGCTAACCTTGATATCGTTAAGATTTAAAGAGAACAAAGTTGATGGCAGATGAAGTCTAAAAAAACTTTGCAGTGTTCACACTACACGGATGGAAATTAATATAAGGACACTTAAAAAGCAGGGTTTTTCCTTATGTTACTCATTCTAAATCATATGCTTTCAGAAGCCATAGGAGGTCCTCCACTGTTATCCATCAGCACATTTTTTTAAATTTGTTGTGACCGAGAACTACGCTACGTTGGGAGAGGGAGGTCTATAGTTGGAAAAACATATGATACGTCTTTTATGGATGGTCCCCTTCGCAACATATAGAACCTTCGACGAACGAATGAGGACTATATGAGCCTGCCCTTATCGAATGGCCATCCTTGAATTGCATTCTCTAGAACTTTTCACGTAGGTTTTTGTCCTGCCTACAATCAAAAGGCACCACCTTAAAGCTCAAGATGTGCAGTGCTCCGAAAATAGATCCACCGCAAATAAGGGAAACCATTGAGTGGCAGACGTAATTTCCTTAGCCACAAGCAGGAGTGCAATCAGGTACATGTCCAGGTGATACCATGCCTCAGCAGGAAATGTCTAAATACATGCAATGATGCCACTTTTTAATCTACGTTCATACTAGACTGATGCAAAATTTGAAATTTTTGATCTACAGAACTGAAACGATTCTAAATCGGGTTCTGATAGCATCTCCAAATTTAGAATCATTTGGTAAGAAACTGACTTAGTACAAACCATTTTTTAGTTTATATGGAAATTACTTTTCCCATAGTCATTTAAAAATCTTCTGTTAGTATCTATCTAGCAATTTACCATATCACTCTGGTTGAACTTTTGAGCACTGTGAAGTGAAAATTCAAAATTTTACATCACTCTAATCCATAAGCACTAGACTGGCCCACAAAAATAAAAGTTCTAATTTTCCACGGGCCAACCTCTGGTTTTGTGCCTTTAGGTGAGAAAACCATTTTCTGAAAGTTTCAGCTCATTTTGTTGTAGGATGAGCTGGTGTTTTTTGTTTAAATGATCTTTATTTTAGTTTAACTTGGACGATTACCATATAAATTTTTACTAAGTGATTTAATTGCTTTCTTCATCTTTAGGTATGGGCAAAATTTAAAATTTGTTTTACAGGATTAGTCCTAGACTTAGTACACGGTCGACCACCTTGGTGGGATTGGTTTGTTTTGTTTTTAGAATTTGAAGAGAAACTACTTAATACTACTATTTACAGCTTAAAACTAACCTACTCTACTATATACACTTAACCTACTATGTACAAATTGCTTATCAAAGCATGTTCAGAAAGATTGCATTTTTGAATAAATTTAGTTGTCATATCATCAATTTTGGAATCTACTTTGGGAATTTCTGCCTCTTGATGGAGGTCCGCTATTCTTGTGTCGAATGGACGATCTAGGATCATCCTCAACACTCTATTCTGTGCAACCTGGATTTTGTTCCTGTGGGTCTGAGCGCACGATTCCCACACCGGGGCGGCATAGAAGATCGCGGGGGCTATGATCTGTTTGTAGACAGTCAGTTTGTTTTGCCTTGAGAGGCGGGATCTGCGGCAAATGAGCGGATACAAACACCTAACCAAGGCGGAGCACTTAACTAGGGTTTTCTCTATGTGCGAGCGGAACAGGAGCTTCTCATCGAACAACATCCCGAGATAAGTAACATCAGTGGACCACTCGACCCTTGTACCATCCATTATTACGGTACAGGAGGGAGACGGTTTAAGTTTTGGTGATTGTCTGTGAAGGAACATGATCGCTTGGGTTTTCGAGGCGTTGATTTTGATTTTCCACGTGGTGGCATAATCAGTAAAGGTGTCAAGGCATCGTTGGAGCTTGTTCGTAATTTCACGAGGCATCCTACCCTTGACGGCTATCGCGGTGTCATCTGCGAACAGGAAGAACACGCAACCGTCTCCTAGAGGAGGGATGTCCGACGTGTAGATGCTGTAAAGCAGTGGTCCCAGCAGACTCCCTTGCGGAACACCTGCTGGGATCGGAAATTGTCCCGAAAGGGAACTATTCAACGACACCCTGAACGACCTTTGCTGGAGATAGTTACGGGTGATTTTCACAAGGTATGGTGGAAAGTTGGAGTTACAAAGCTTGTATATAAGTCCGTCGTGCCAGACATTGTCAAACGCCTTTTCGACGTCTAACAAGGCCATGGCTGTGGACTTGGATACAGCTTTGTTACTTCGGATGTTATTCATCACCCGCACTAGCTGATGATTGGTGGAATGCCCCTTGCGGAACCCGAACTGTTCCGGAAGAAGAATGTCATGTTCCTCCACAAACTTGTTTAGTCGGCTGAGGATCAATTTTTCGAACAGCTTGCTCAGCGCTGAGAGCAGGCTAATCGGTCTGTAGCTTGACGGTAGTGAAGGGTCTTTCCCAGGTTTGCGGATCGGGATGATTTTTGCCACCTTCCAGATGCTTGGAAAGTAGTGCAGCTCCAAGCATCTGTTGAGGATGGCAGCCAGCAGCGAGTGGACCCTCGGGCTGAGATTTTTCAACGCTAGGTTGAATATTCCGTCAAACCCGGGAGCCTTCATGTTTTTGCTATATTTCAGCGCTGAGCAAATTTGTTCCTCTGTAATCCGTTCTTCTGGAGGGACGGCACAAGGGGAGGTATCTAACGTCTGGACGCACTGCACAACCTGGTTCTCGAGTGGACTTGGGATTGTAGAGCCAAGCAAATGCGATTGGGCAATGTGCTCCCCAATTGCATTGGCCTTCTCTTCGTTGGTGATAAGCCGTTCGTCATTGACTCTAAGTGGTGGAATGGGCTTGGGGTGAGACTTCAGCACCTTGGCAACCTTCCAGAATGGTCTGGAACGGTCGTCCAGGTTCTGAACGAGCCGCCCGAAACTCTCGTTCCGGATTGAGACCATTCTGGAAGCGATCTGCCGATTCAGATCGACCATTTCGTATTTACGCTGCAGATCCCCAGTCCGCTGAAACTGGCGTCTACGAACATTTCTGAGCCGAATCAAGAGTTTGGATGAGCTGGTGTTTTTAGTTTGAATTTTATATAGGGATTCTGAATGACATACATGAAAAAATGACACTCCTACACTCTATTGATCATAAAAAAGTAAGAGGTTGTATCCAAGACACGACCATAGATTTGACGTAGGATTACGAAAGGTAGTATAGCAAAAGTATAGTAAATATTAAATTGATTTCGTACAATTGTAGAAATTTGAATAGATTGAACTGCCCATCAATTTTGGTATTCGAAAATGAAATCTGAATACCGGACGGTACCTTTATGCTTTTAGATGCAAATTTTTAGCCCCTCCTGCTAAGAGAATTCGGCACGATTAGATTTTGGCATAATTTTCTTAATAGGAGGGGCTTCAAATTTGCATCAAAAGGCATAAAGATGGGTACCGTCTAGCATGCTATCACGGTATCATGGAAAAGCTTCGTTTTATGATGACGTAATTACGCATTTCCGTGCACAAAACGCATGGAATTTTTGGCTTTTTCCATAAATGAAAAATATACGAAAATTGATTGTAGGAATCTAAGATGGGATACCTCGACAAATGTTCAAATAATACTCTTTAAAAAATTTATGGTGGTCCTGAGAAGGGCCGTTTTGTCGTGATGGTTGAGTAATGCTGAGCTGGGTGTTTAACACTGATGAGGCTGTCGAGCTGTATATTGTTTGAAGCGAGGGTGACACGCTTGGCATAGATGACCGACCCCCGCACAGAGCGACTCACGAAGAGCTACTGATTCTGATTCTGATTCCAAGCGGTGGTCTTCTTCTTCCTATAGTTGCTTATGTGGGCTCTGCAGCTCGCTGTTTGCAGGCAACCTTTCGTAGCGTACGGGAGAAAACGCGCCGAAAGCATTGCTGCTGCTGCTGCTGCTGCTGTGGACACCGTCGACCGGACACCACCACACACGGTGATTGAATGAGCACCATTCAGTGAGACAGGATTGAATTCGATTTTTAAATCTGTGTTAGGGAATGCGCTGATTTCAGGCAATCGGTGATAATTTTGATCACCATTGCAACAGTCGGGCATTTGTATTTTTTTCAATAGTGACCTATTGAAAATTAATAGTGTTCATTTTAGCAGATAAGTAGATAAATTTCCAATCGTTTGGTTTGTTTAGAATTAGAATCCATCTGCTATTGGTAGAAACCTGACCAATTCAGGCCTTACATTAATTTGATAACGGCACAAAAGCATTTGTAAACAAACTTTCTAAGGCATTTTACACGCAAACCAAAGTATGCCCGCGCAAACCAACAACATCATCGAATAGGGGCAACTATCACCTTTCCGAAAGTGGTATTGGTTTGCGTGGGCGTACTTTGGTTCGCGTGTAAAGGGCCTTAGAAAATTTGTTTACAAATGCTTTTGTGCCGTTATCAAATGTTATGCCTGAATTTTCGAAATGCGGTCGATTTTGGTTTTTTTTTGTAAATCCTGTGGAGATCTATCTAGCCCTGACGTATGTTATTTCAAGTAGGTCCTAAGTAACATTGACAGATTCTCTTCGTCCACTTTCTCTTTGCATCCCCACGGCCATGTAAAGATATACCCAGGTATTTTCAGCACACAGATCGATAAAAGAAGCTTTTATCTAGCATCTTATACGACAAACACATCAAGAAACGGTTCTATGCTCAAGTTATTAAAGAGAAAGAGAAAGTCGACTAAAAGAATCGATCAATGTTACTTAGGACCAAATTCAATGTTTAGCTGGATTTGTGAAAGTAAAACAAATCCTAGCTAGCTCTGCATGATGATTTTGTTTGATTGTATTATTTTGTAAAGCCGCCGGGAAATACCAGCTGGTGATTTGTTTTTTTTTTTATGATATCTCCTTACTAGAAAACAGGCAAAAACTCACAAACAGGCTTCTTTTCATGGTATACAGTGTGATAATTAAGTAATCAATTAATCTCAATTAATTATCTCAACATCT